ATCCATCCAGCCGCAGACCGTCCAACAGCACCAATCTCTCCGCTGAACAAAGCGGGGCTGTGTAAAATGCTGCCCATCACAGGCGCAAAAAAACACAAGTGCCCCAGAGCTGTCCAGCAATGACAGTCAAATGGCACCGACATTCCTCCCAATCAAAAACAGTGCTGGTATACCCATGCTGCCGAGAAGGCGCAACCACCAAGCACCGAGTCTCCTCCTTGATGAATGTCGTGGCCAAAAAATGCTGAAAAACAATCCCCATCCGGTCCACACGATGCAACAACAAACACAAAGTGACAAAACAAACACAAAAACAAAAAAAAGCAAGGCTCATGAGAGCACTTGCCGACGGCTGCCTACTCGGGCGCCATCTTGGACTTCAATTGTGTATGTATGTATGTATGTATATGTAAAAATCCACATATTTCTGTGTCTCTGGAACACCTACCAAACTGGTTTCCAAAGGCTACACTGCTGCGTGAGGAAGCCTCCTGTGACAATTTCTGGGATGCTACTGTGTAACGAGCTGCATTTGGCATTTTTTTGGTTGGAGGGGGGGGGGGGCATCTAACAGTGTGTAAGGTAAATAAAAGTTGTAAAAACATCCATCTGTGTGACCGCTTTCTTTGCAAATACGGCTATTAATAAGAAGCGGACATTGTGTGTACAGATTTACAAAAGTTGTTGATGCAATTGAGCAATTTTACACGACTGCTGGAACCTGAGTCAAGTGTGACTCACAACCTATCAAATTTAGTATCAAAAGTCTAGCAGAGGGTCAGGAAATGAAATTGTTTTATTCTGGTTCACACAAAGCGTCTTATTTAAAGTGACATATATGCCTGTTAGCTTTCATGTGTGCAGGTTAGAAGAGCCTCTTAAGCAACAGTAATGTGGCTGGGATTAGAGCTGACAAGCAGCCCTCCAACCTAACTCGTCATTTCGCCAGGCTCTGAGAGGGAAGTCTTTGTAATTTAATGCTGCCAAGCAATGTTACCTTGCATCAAAATAAAAATGTTACAAATCACAGACTTATCCAATTTCTACCCCTTGTCCTGTTCGAGGCTGAAGGGATGTTGGAACCTATCACCTCACTGTAGGTGAAATGTGACGACACCCTGGATTGGCTAACACAGGGAACACATATACAGACAATAGCCTCGTTCACATGGCAACGTTTGGTCCGACGCTGCGCCGAAGCAGAGCCAGTCGGGCGTTCACACGTGCACATTTGCTCAGACGTAGCTCCACTAAAGAGCTTATACCGGACCAAATTTGATCCACCTCAGGGAGGTGGTTTAAAAATTTGCTCCAGAGCAAATGTTCGTTTGTGACGCTACGCCGGAACAAATGTGCACGTGTGAATGCAGCTGGGTTAAATTTGCTCCAGAGCAAATGCTCGCTTGTGGGGGAGTGGCCTCGCTACGCTCGCTACCAGATGCACGGAATCCGACCCCGGTCGACAGTGACGAGGGGGCCAGCGACACAGACGAAGCCCGGCCGTGCACCCCCGTTCCCGGTAAAATTGTCGGTGATTTAAGCGGTGAAGACAGCGCTCATGATCAAAAAGAGGATCAAGAAAGCAGTGATGTCAGCCGAGCCCGATTTGCAGGCCCGAGCCCGAAGCAAACCCGACATTTCATATTTTATTTGTGTGTATTTTTGGGAGAAAAAAAAAAAAGATTTCTTACGGTTAAAATAATCTACATATTTTTATGAACATGATCAATGCATTTGCACAACGAAATAACGCTGAAATACAGAATAAGAGGCCAGACAAAGAGAAATCTCGATGCGCATTTGCTTAATTACGCAGAGAAATCCTGCGGCTTACTAGGCTTTAAATAGAATAATGCAAATCAAATAAATAGGTAAAGATATCTGAAATTATTTCTATAGGATTGTTTAAACGAAATTAACATACGTGCGCACTGCATCTGGCCGGCTGCGCTCCTGTTTAGCAGTTAAATAGCAATTAAATTACAGCGCATTCTCTGTTTTATCCAAAATGTTTGTTTTAAAACAAGTATTCCTTAGTTTAGTATCCGCACA